ATTTCAGAGACTTGTTTATCAGGTATTGGACGGCTCATTGAATTATCAGATGAATAAAGAAAAAAAATCAAAAAAAAAATATTAACTACAAAAGAAATGATAAAATCTTATAAAACAAAGGGATGTCCTCTTCTGAGTCACACTCAAGAAAAGGTATTCAGAAATGTCTTGATGGAAAAAATATTCAAACAAAACAAAGTCGTGATAAAAAAACAAAAGAAGTGGCTCAAATGTCATTTCTAATTTGGGCATTAAATCGTAAATTCTCATTTTCATTTCAAAAGCCAAAAAAGAGATCAACCGTAAATTTTTGTTTTCCTGATTTAATTGAAATTGATTTTGGGAAAGACAAAATGAATGTTGTACAATTTTTGAATGAACGTGCAGAAGAAGATTATAATAATTTTTCTCAAAGAATGACTCCTAAACAAGCTAATAGGAAAGTAGAACATCTTAAGAAAGTGTATCTTCATAATTATCTTACTGACCTTGCAATACATGATGGCATTACAATAATAAGTAAAGCTACTCAAAAGGATATTGAACAAATGGAAAGATTCATTAGAATAGAATTTGATAGTAACACTTATGACCAAAGTGAAATTGTTGAAGCTGGAGTAGAAATTAATGTTATTCTTATGGCAATGCTTGGAGACAATTCTACTTTAAATGTACCAAAAGGAAAATTATACGAATCATATGTTCGAACTGGGAAGTAGAAAAATTGTAATGTTTTTATAGTTTTAGTACATTTTAAATAGAAAAAAAGTTTTTTTAAAGAAAATGAAAAAAAAACCCTCTTTTTCACTTTTAAATAAGTAAATAATGCAAACTGCACAAACAGACTTTATTCAAAGAATAAATGAATTAGAACATCTTGTTTTAAAAATATTAAATATACAAACTAAAGAATTAGCTATTCTAAAATGTTGTGATGAAAATATTGACAAAGACGTTATTAGTTTCTTAAAAAGTTATTTTTCATTTAATAGTGCTGATATTCTTTCATGTAAAACATCAATTGAAAATAATAAGTTTCCTTCTTGTATTAATATTTCTTCATTAAATAAAACAACTCTTTCTTATTTACAAAAACTTGGACTAAAACAAATTAAATGTACAGAAGAAGAATATAATTCTTTTTCACCTCAAATTCTTTCTTTAATTAAATCTTATATAAGTGTTGATTTAATTGTTTCAAATCCAAATGAACAGAAACAAATTAATGAAACTGCATATGTCCCTCCTTCATTAAGAAAACAACAAGAAGATAATTCTATTCGTTCTCAATATACTGTTCCACCTAAAATAAAACATATTCAACAACCAGGACCTGTTGTTAATTATAATTTTGAAATTGAAACTATATTAAAAATTACTCAAGCAAAATCAGCTAATGTAATTTATAGAATAGATGCAACTAGCGGTTCTTTCGCTGGGTTATTAAATGTTTTTAAATCTTGTAAGAAAGGGATATTGTTATTTAGATTAACTATTAACAATAAACCAACTTCATTTGCTACTTATCATGATATTTTTCCAACTCAAATGGGTGTAGCTATTTCTGATGGCTCAGAATACGTTTTTTCAATAGTTAATGATCCATTTATTCCTCATCCTTATTATATTAAACCATTTAATAAAACTATGATGATTAAAGAAGATAGAATTGCTATATTCTCAATTGGAACATTTATTAAGAAAAACCATTCTATTCGTTATAATGGTAAAATGTCTGACCTTTTTGATGTTCCAAAAACTATTTCATTAAATGCTATTATTCCTTATAACCAAGAAACAACTACAGCTATACAAAATGGTTGGTCATCTATTTCAGTTATTGAATTAAAATAAGTATTCTATCTCTTTTATTTGTTTCATTTAAATTAAACGATAAATTGATGATAAAATATAATAAAATAATATATTCAAACTACATCATTTTCATTTCTTTCATTAACTTCATTATCAAATGTTGTAGAAACATATAAGGGCCATTGACATAATGGTATTTTTTTATTTTTTACTTGTTCAAAAAGAGTACTAACACTTAAATGAGTTTTTTCATAATCAGGATTCCCCATTTTTAAAGCAACACAAATTCCATTAAGTAATAAATAATTATTATTTTCTTCTACTTCTTCAGATGAAGCTTTTGTATAATCTTCTAATTTACTTTCTAATTGTTTTTGTTTAAATGTTGATTGTTTTAATTGATTTTCTAAAGAAACAATATTATTTTGTAATGTTTGAATAATGGTTGTTTTGTCATCAATACTTCTTTTCATAACAGATTCTAATTCATTATTTTTTTCAATAGACTCTGTTAATTGTAATTTTAATTTTTCATTTTCTTTCTTTAATACTTCATTTTTCTCTTTTAGTTCAATAAGTCCTTTTGTTTGATTATTCGTACTTTTTGTAATAATTTCATTATCTGATGAAGAATCATCAACTCCAAAGTTGGAAAATTCTGGTTTAATAACAACTTGTGGTTTTTCTAATACAAATTGTTTTTTCTCTGGAACTTTTTCTTTTATTTCATTTGTACTTGTAGAATGAATTATGACATTAACTTGTGAAGAACCTTTTGAAACTGACTTAGGTTGATTGGAATTTTGTTGAGTCATTTGATTTATCAATGACTCATCTAAGAATGGGTTAGTTTCTTTTTTTTCAGTTTTGTTAAGAGGATTTAACATTTGAGATGAATTATCAGTGAAAGGATTTGAACTTTGATTTTGTTGTTTTGTTGAAGTATCAATAAAAGGATTAGTTTGTATTTCATTTTCTTGAAGAGTAGTTGTTGATTGTTGATTTAAAGAAGGATCTAAAAAAGGGTTAGTTTCAGTTGTTTTTTCATGTGTAGTTATTGGTTGTTGTGTAAGAGATGGGTCTAAGAAAGGGTTTGTTTCAATTTTATTTTTTTGTATATCAGGTTGTGGTGTTGTATTATTTAATTCTTGATTTAAAGAAGGGTCTAAGAAAGGATTAGTTTGAATATTATTGTTTTGAATAACAGACTCATCTATTTTAATAGTTTGAGGGGGTTGAATAACACCTTTTGTTATTTTTTGTTTTTTATCAAATTTTTTTCCACTTTTCAAAGCTTTATTTTCCTGTTTAAGATTTTCACACCATTCTTGAAGTTCTTGTAATTTACTTTGGTACTCAACGAGCATATATTTTTCTTTTGTTTCTAATAATGATTTTTCTTTTGATAAAACACTTTGTTTTCCTAATGACTGAACATATTTTTCTTCTAACTCTTCATAAGCAACAGTTTTTTTTGATAATTCAATTTCCATTAATGTTAGTCGGGAGTCATAATTGTCTAACTGAAGAGTCTCGATTTTTTGGTGCAAAAATCCAATTTCTTCTTGTAAAGAATGTATTTCAATCATTAATGACTCAACTGGATCCATGTCAGAGAGAATAGAACTGAGAAAAAGAATTATTGAAAAGAATTATGTATATTTAGATACAAAAAGAATATTTTTTTTTAATAAAATCTTCAAATTTGATTAAAAAATTATGAAACCCTTAAAAATTTTAAAAAATTATGAAAACCTAAAAAAAACTTCCACCAAAACGAAATTATTCCACCAGATTCTATCATCTCTTATCAAATTAAGTTCAGTTAATGCTTGCTTTATTCCTACTCGTATCAATTGCTCTTGCAGAAAAGAAGGAATACCTTGCTGTTACAAATTATACTAGTGATGGAAATATGTTTTATGGTGCTCCATTAAATAGTTGTCTTACTTATTACCGTTTTTTATCAAATGGAAATAGTTATTATGTCAAATTTTCTAACACTGAACCTAAGGTACAATATTATGTAGACGAATATTGTACATCTGTAAATGGTGCTGCTGTGGCACCAGTTGATTGGGAAATTAAAGAAGTTGATATTGATTTTAGTCAAATTACTATTCCAAGTGGTAAAGGTATTCCATTATATATTAAACCAACTTGTGCTAAAATATCTAACGAAGTTTCATTTAGTCAAGAAAATGATGGAACGACTATTACCCTTAAACGATACTCTGATGACCATTGTGATGATAGTTACCTTACTCAAAAAATGACATGCCAAGATGAAAATGTTTACAATTATGATGATGACCAATATTTATTTGGTGAAGGACAAAAGGCAAGAGTTATTTGTGGTTCTTCTTTGTTAACTGTTCTTTTTATTTCAGCTATCGTTTTGATGTTAATCTAAATTGATCTCATAATTTTTATCTAAATAAAAAGTCTGTTTGGTTTTCATTTCTTGTCTTATTTTCTTATAATTAAGATAATGAGAGTTGGTTGATAAAACAATAATGATAATTATCCATTAACATAAACTTAAAACTAGTTTTATTAATTAAATTAAATTAATCAAAATTGTTATTAAGGTATTACACATCTTCATACAATTCTGAATGGACTATCTGTTAAATTTGAACAATAGAATCTTCAGATGATGAAGTTAAATCTTCTTTCTTTTTCTTAATAACAATAGAACCACTTTCTTCATTACAATTTATAGATGAATCAGAATCTTCAGATGATGAAGTTATTTTTTCTTTTTTCTCCATAATAACAGATCCATCACCATTATCATTTATTGAATTTACAGAATCACTTGATATTTCAGAGCTTTCACTTGAGCTTTCTATGTAGATTGGATCTCCTCTACAAAACTTCATAATAGAAAGAAATTCTACATCAAGTAATTCATATTCAATAAAGACAGACACATCATCAACTGGATTTAATTCCTTTTCTCCATTAATCATTTTATTAAGGATGTCACATCTTTTTTTACAACCCTTTTCAATTGAAGTCAAATTACTTAATTCAACTTTAATTTTTGCTTCACGATCAGAATCGGTAAATACTTTATCAGTATTTAATAGCATTTGTCCAATTTTACGTTTTAAAATAACTGTTTTTTGAATATTTTCTTCACTACATATTTTATTTTCTTCTATATATTTTGTTCCAAGTGACTTTTGTAATACATCAAATTCTTCATTCAATGTTTGAATTTTCTTTTCTATATTTTCTATATCATGTTGTCTTGATGTACCAATACAAAGAATACGTTCTTTAATACTCCAAACATTATAATAGATTTCAGTCAATTCTATATTAATTTCTTTTAATGACATACGAAAATTATAAAGTTGTGTTGATACTGAATGAGCATCGTAATAAGTTCTATTACTTATTAATGACCATTGGTATTGAGCAAGATTCTTACATGTTATATAAATATGATGTAATTGATTAATACGTTGTTTATATGATTTTAGTATTGATAATAATAATTGGTTATATTCTTTTGGAATTAACTTAATAGAGAAGAGTAAAGAAGTAATTTTCATAAGATATTTCTTAGTTGTATTATTTAAATTCCAAACTTTCTTTTGCATATTAATAGCACGTTCATATTCTTCTTCATAATTTTCAGAAGTAAAAAATCTTTCATAAATACGTTTTAATGTTTTTAGTTGATCTTTTAAATCTATTTTAGTATAATAATTTGTGTCCATAGATAAACAATAATATATTTTTCCAATGTCTTCTTCCCATATTTCAATTTGTTTTCTTCTATCTCTTTCATAAGGCCAAAGAAATGAAACTGCTTCCATAACTTTTTTTTGTTGTTCAATAGGAAGTTTTCCAATATTTTGACAAGATACTAATTTAGAATATTCGTCAAATTTTAATTTAAATTCTTTTGCTTCTTTATTTTCATTAATTTTAGTTAAATATTTTTCTATTTTTTTTTTAAGGATAATGTCTTGTTCTGTTTTGCTAGGAAGATGAAGATAAGTTCTAATTGTGAATATCATTTTATCAATTTTAACTAATCTTTGTTTATTTGAGTTTACTGTGTTAGTATACTCTTTAAAAGCTGATTCAATTAGACTCGTTTCTGGATCTTTTTTTCCAAATACTAATTTTGTTATGTTAGTCATATTCATTGAATATGCTTCGTCAGTAAATTCTGGTTGAAATAATTGAGTCTTAAAATATTTTAATTTTTTTTCTTCTTCACTCATAAGTGTAAGTGGTGTAGCAGTATGTGGAAGCTGTGTATTTGGGTTGTTTTGATGGAGAGTGTCCATCTAAGAATTATGTTTCCAGTTCAATTTTAAAAAAGATATGATAAAAATTTAAATTAGAAATTATATTAATTCAATTTATCAATAATTTAATTTTATTATATTTCATTTTCACATATTATTATATCCATTTTCTAATTCATTTACTACAGTATTAATTTCAGGTCGTTTTGTTTGCTCTTCATCCCAACACCTACTTATTATGTAATAAACCCACTCTGGCATTTTATTTGGCTTTTCTAATCGTTTACCACAACCAATAAATTGTGCTATATCCCATGGGTATTTAAACTTTTCAATTGGATATGGAGTATTCCACATATACGCTTCAAATAAACTAACTCCAAATGAAAAGATGTCTGATGGCATTTTATATTTCTTTTGATCCAGAACTTCAGGTGCCATATACATTGGTGTTCCAACTCCTTTGGTAAATGTCATATTTGTCATCATCATATTAACATTTCTTGATGACCCAAAGTCTGTAAGTTTAGCGTTAACTAAAGTATTAGGATTAACTGATACAATAAGAATATTATCTGGTTTAATATCTCGATGTAATATTCCATTTGAATGAAGATACTCAATTCCTTTTGCAGCATCTATCATAAATTTTATTCTTAATTTATGTCCGGGTTTTTTGTCTTTGGAATAATTATGAATTGAATCTTGTAGTGACCCATATTCTGCATATTCTGTTACCATGCAATATTTATTTGGAATGAATACTGCTCCGTAAAAATGAATGATATAATCACTTCTAAACTTATCTAACATTGATACTTCTTTCTCAAATTCTTCAATTGTTTCACTATCACCTGCCATATTCTTCATTTGTTTAATTGCTACTTTATTTCCTCTAAACTCT